TTGGAAAATTCATTGTAACTTCTTGCAAGGAGTAGATTGAGTCAGTGCTCCCTGTCTCCTCAGTATCCTATTTGGATTGGATGTGATATTATCTTTCATCTCCTGTCCTAATGCATTGTGTAACATTATTGCATGCTGTTCAGCAGCTGCTATGTTCCATCTCTTAAGGGGCCAAAGCAATCTCTCTCCTAGTATTTGGTTCAAGCTTGCCAATCCTTTGACTCGTTTAGGATAAGAGGTGCTGGCTAGTTCCACTAGAAGACCTGCAACTTGATGGTTCAGAGCCATAGTAATGGGTGCAACATATTAAAACCTGGAAAGAGAACTACAATATTGTGGTGATGTTACTGACTTCTTGGCAGGGATGGATAGGGTGAGGCTTGGAGAAGGCAGGGTAGAGGGTCTTCAGTCCAGGGGGTGGGGAGAACAGCTGGGAACTCCAAAAGCCAAGCGGACTTGAAAAGAGGGCAGCCTGTCACTTGAACAGTGCTTAATTTAAAGGTCGAAGGGCAGATTGTAGTATAAAGTGGCCTCATTCTGTGGACGGTGACTTACACCATCAGAAGTTCTGGCTCCAAATGTTGGTAGAATGGTAAAAATTGCACATGGAAAACCAATTTCTAAACACAGGCACCTCAGGAAAAGCTGCCATGGCCCATTCTGGCTGGGTAACTGTTTGGTGTGTGTATGAGAGAGTCTTGTGGTGTGTGTGGTGTTTTTTTTTTTGTTTTTTTTTTTTTTTTCCCCCCCCCCCCCCCCCTGGGGCCTTGGCGCTTTTAAGTTTTTTTTTTTGTTTTTTTTTTTTTTCCCCCCCCCCCCCCCCCTGGGGCCTTGGCGCTTTTAAGTTTTTTTTTTTGTTTTTTTTTTTTTTCCCCCCCCCCCCCCCCCTGGGGCCTTGGCGCTTTTAAGTTTTTTTTTTTGTTTTTTTTTTTTTTCCCTCCTCCTCCCCCCCTCTCTGGTGCCTTGCCCCCATTAAGATTTTTATTGTGTTGTCACAAATTGCATATCTTTCCTAGGAGCCTTTCTTTTACTGAGTGCTACATTCCTGGAAGGTGATGTCACTGTTGCCTGGGGCTGGTTTAGAAACAGGCGAAACAAAGGGATGCCTGGAAAATTGATGTTGTTTTGGTTTTTTGTTGTTGGTCTTTTGGTTTTTTTGTTTGGTTTTTTTCCCCCCTTGAAACTAACATTTTCCATTGGAGACTGCATCCCAATTCGGACAAAGATGGGAATCAAAAGACAATTGCTTCCCCTGGCTTAGTAATAAGTGGACAGAAGTGCTCCATGCATGTTTTGCAGCACTGTAATTTAGAGCACTTTTTATAGCAGTATAAAGTTACAGAGCTCTTAAACATGACAGAAGTGCAGTGTTTGCTGGGGGAGCCCTTCCTGCATTTTCCAGGCTAGGAGGCAGGGGGCTCCCACAGCTTCCTGGGGCAGCTTCACTGGTCAGAAATTTGACCAGTGTACAGAAGTTATTTAAAGTGCTGTAGGTTGCTAAGTCAAGTCAGTCCTGAGGCCGCTGTGACTGGGGCACCTTGGGTGCTGTAGCAGCCCTCCTGGGTTAGTTGAGTTGTTTTGCATCATTGGTGATTTTCTTCAGACCAAGTGACCTGGTGCTGCCTGTATCCTCTCCAGGTATAGATGGCCACTGGTTCTCAGGGAGCTGACCCGCCCTTTGACAGGTCTCATTTTTAGTACTGCTGGGTGTCCGCACATCCCTCCTCACCCAGGCTAGCCCAGGTGGGGGTGCCAGTTCAGTTGCTGACAGCCCAACCATGGAACAGGCTGTACTGGTTTACGTGGTACCAGATAGACCAAGAGACTCCTGGCCTGGCAAGGACTGTGTCTAAAATGCTGTAAAATACAGTGCTTCCGACTTAATACTTCATGTAACAAGGATTTATTTAAAGTTTTGTAGCCATTTTTAAAGTGCTGTAAAACGATGCACTTTTGTTGAGTCACAGCAATAACGTGCTTTGAATGGCAAAACAAGTAACTTCATATATACACCCCTAATAGTGGCCAGACTGCTGGTCCGTGAGGTGGGAGACCTGAAGTATAAGTCGCTGATCAAATTAGGGAGTGTCATACCCCTTTTCGTTTTTTTTTTTTGTGGAACGGGGCAATTTCCCCACTCGGCTCTACTGATGGCTTGTAACTAACTGATGAAGGGAAGCCATGTGGTAGGAGAGAGCCTCTGTTAAAGGAAGGCAAAGCTTTGTGATCATGGGTCTGGACTGGGATGTCCTGCTGGTGGGTTGATGTCCAGTTCTGCCATGAGACCCTTTTTACCACTGAGCAAATTGCCAGATCTCTCTGTGCATCTCTGTTCCATGTTCCCCGGTCTTGTGTCAGTCTTGTCCATTTTAGACTACACTCTACAGGGAACTGTTATTTCCCCCCTCAGGACATATGCCAACACCTAGGAAACAGGACCCTGAATTGCGTAAGATAATGCTGCATGGGTTGGAACCAGAGGTCAATTCAAAACCAGTCTGGATTCTCTAAGCAGCAATATGGCATGTTTTCATAATGGGTTGGACCCAAGGAGCAGCTTCACAGTGTGGAGCTGGGGTGTGGTGGCATTTAGATCCCTTGTCTGGGAGCAATTAGACCTGAAGAAGCCCCCACCTATATTAAGCAGAGCATCAATCTGCGCCTGATGCCTAGACTCTGGAGTGTGGCCAGATGAGCCTGGCTTGGGGTAACTTTCTCATCTGGGGGAACTCATGTGGCTTCCTTCCCTTGGAGATATATGACACCATTTTGGGCTGGGTGATATTGGAAAGAGCTTTGAAGATGTCAAGCCATGCACAGTAAGTGATAGATAGTACTGTTAGCTGCCAGCTGTGTAAGCATGAGTGTTGCACAAAGCTACTGGCAGCATCACTTATCTAGTGCACTTCCCATCTCCTACCTAGATAAATTGATCAAGCAGCTGCTTGGGAATTGCTCTGGAACAGCTTTAGCAGCTGCCCAGGAGACCACTCCCAGCTGTGGGAGACTTTCATGGAAGGTCACCGAAGTGCAAATCTTTAATGGCTACCTTGGAATTGCTAAAGCAGAAGAACACCCCAGCAGTGTGGAATACCACGTAGCTGACGGGAACACCCAGCAGCCGATACAAGAGCAAGTGAGGCTGCCATGAGGGGTTTGCACTAGTTAAAGCATTGGATGGAAGCGCAGGTTCTTGGCATTTAGACAGTGGTGAGATTTATGGAGAGTGGTGGCATAAATGTGTTAAAGGGTGCTCAAGACCACTCCCATCTGGGACCTTCTAGATTACAGGGGTGGGGTTGCAGGGCTGAGATGATGCTTTAATCTAAACCTTGCTAAATAACCCTGATTTTTTTTTTTTTTTTTTTT